AATATATGGGATTGATTCGAGGAATGTAGGGGAAATGAGGAGGTGTCTGAGACAATTGGGCTGGCATGTACTGTACTGTACCTTGTCTAGGGAGATGTATGTCTGGGATCTATTTAGGTGCATGTAGATATAGTCACGAGTTACGATGCGTTGAGCTGTAATACACTTTGAGTTTTTACTTTGACCTTGAACCTACAGACCTCCCATGATGAGATGGCTGAGTTGGTGGGGAGTCGTAGAGTCATCACCAGATAAGACTCTTTTGCGGCGTACAAGTGAATGATGAAGTCATTATATGAACTCTTTGGCCTCAAGAGAACATACAAGATGCGCTGGTGAAGAAAATGGGCTTGTTTGTTCTTTGTTCTTATCTCGTGGCGGTGCGCCTTTGTTCATTCACCTGGTGTACATAAGTGAAGACAGTGGTGAGAGTCTCACGTACACCATCAAAGTCCATTATTGTTCCAGCAATGTCGACTTTTCATGACTTACTATTTAACCAAGATGATGTTGACTCACAGCATCTCAACTTCCCTCCTCACCGTCAACAGCTCTGAGAACACTTACAGTAGAGATCATCACAGCTCAGGTAATCTTCATCTTCACTGACAAACCAACACAACAACACACCAGGACCCTTCGCTATCATGCCTAGACATAGCAAGCGCTCAACCCGCAAAGTCGGATTTCTCGACGCCCTAGGCCAATGGACAATGGGCCCCTGTCTCAAGCGCAGCTCCCGCTGCCGTCGTCATCCACGCAGTACATCTGCCTCCCGCGAAGCTCGTCTCGCAAACGCCCCGAGGGATCTTAACCTCACAGCCCGTCAATGGCGTCAATACGCTGATGTTCCTCCGGAGCCAGAAGATGAGTGCGACTGCAGTGACTGCGGTGATGACTGTTCTGACGATGAGCAGAAGCCGCTTATGAGTGGTGAGCCCCTGCAGAGGATCAGCTCCAAGTGGTCGCACTCTGAGGGGTCAGCGTTCACGCGTGAACCAGAGCCTGTTCATAGAGATTCGGGGCTGAATCGCATTCTGGGGAGGGTTGAGGCTGAGATGGCGGAGGAGCAGAGGCTTAGACATCGGGTGAGTTATGATGCTGGTAATGATGCGCTGTTTGCGAACATTCCTCGGCGGGATCAGAGGACTCAAGGTGAATTCATCGTGCACCGTCATCGTCTCGGCGACGGAGAGGATTTTCTAGCAGTTGATACCTTTGGACACGGTGATTCAGGCTATCGCGGAGCAGACGTTCAGTCCGTACGCTCATCGCAGTTCTTTGAGAACCCTCGTGAAGTACCCACCGTTCCTCAAGATACCTGGGCTCCATCGGTTCAGCATGTCCCCGAGAGTACAAAGACTAGGATTCAGTCTTGGAGGGACTGCGTTGATGATGGGCCGGAGCCAGAGTCTTCGGTGTTTGGGGGCAGTAATGCTCCGACGGTTTGGCCAGGGAGTGCAGAGACGGTTGTGCCGGATGATAGCCTCACGGAGGTTGTTGTGCGGAAGTCTTCGAAGAGGGAGTCGAAGGGTAGTGGGAGTAGACGGTATTCGAAGAGGAAGTGAGTGGTGAGAGGTGAGATTGGTGTTTAGGTAAGTCTTTGGTGTAAGTCAGTGAGTGAGTGAGAGGGAGAGGGTAAGTATTGATAGCTACGTCTTAGTGAGAGACCTAGACTGAACCTTGAGTGGTAAGTATAACAATAAATTCCCTTTGTCTGTAATATTTGTCTGATATTGATTTGATGCTGAGTGATGTGATTGTAGTAGTGATTGTCAGTGGGTGGCTTCAGCTGACGGGCATTGACATGGCAGACTAATAGAGTCAGTGTCAATGCTTACAGCGCTCTATTGTCGCAGGATGTTATAGACAGTGACATCAATTGATAGGATAGTGCACCATCGTAATTGAGAACAATACTGTATGAAAAGATATTGAAACTGACTTACACGAACCTTGCCCCTTGCTTCGGCTCCACAAAGTATCGTATCGTACCGCATGTCACTAAGACACATCGGGCCATCTCCAACTCCCAATTAAACGCGACGCGCGAAGGGAGCTTCCGTTCCCTTCCAAACTTATTAAACTTGGACCTTTCTTTATACATCACGGCCCCGCAGTTTGCAACGACACCGCACGCAAACCTTGGCCTCTATACCTGTCTTGTCTTGGCTTCAAATACCTCGTACTTCTTCTCTGATCTCTCGCGACTGCTTGTAGAGCTTCAAAGACGACTCCGCGATCCTGCGCACGGGTACAGACCCTTTGCGACACTTTCGAATGCGATTGGCAATTGGATCGTTTGCTTCAAGAGTGGTCTATGAATTGATGCTTTAGACTTTTACTAGGTGGATATACTATACAGGTAAGTCTTTGTTACGTCTGTGAATCAGTTGCGCCAGACTTGTCTTCAGGTCACCTTCGTCAATCCTCCCAATTACCCCCAGCTAACATCCCCAGCGTCCATAATGAACACCCTAGACGATGATCGCTTGTCCGCCAGTTCAGCTGACTCGGACAATGACAACGACAACGATAATGACAATGATAACGACCGCAACGACGTCGACGAGACAATGGAGGACGCTGATGACAACGGGGATCAAGATCAAGACGCAGAAGGGGATGACGATGATAACAACGACGACGATGACGATGACGACAACGGCGATGCAGATGCTGATGCAGACGGCGAAGGCGAAGAGTCTCAACCGCCTGCGACGGACTCAAACGATCAAACGAGCACCCAGATAAAATCTGAACCCGACGATTCGCAGTCCCAGCCCAGGAAATCAGCTACACCCGCCCCGAGTCTCGACAAGCGGTGGCCCCAGCCGTCACCCGAGTATATCAACGCAGCGTCCTACGACATCGTGCCGACAATGGCTGCGCCGCAATCGACCAGTGTCAATGCCATGGCCATCACACCCGATTTGAGGTACTGGATCACGGGAGGCTCGGACGGGTATATTCGTAAATATGACGGGCCTAATACCATCAATGGCAAGCTCGCCTTGACGGTTGCGCAGAGGCATCCGTTTGTGGACAGCGTTACCAAGGCTGGCATACTCATGTCGTACTGGGAGAACGAGGAGCCGCCGCCTCCGGGACGGGGAGACCAGGAGCATATTCTCTCGCCTGTTTACTCTCTTGCGATTCAATCGCAGGCTCTTTGGTTGCTATCTGGTCTGGAGTCAGGCGGTATTAATCTCCAGAGTGTCCGACATGACGAGGGCAAGAGAATTCACTGTCTGCAGCAGCACACCAACGCGGTGTCTGTCTTGACGATGGCACAGGACGAAAGGAGCGTTCTTAGCGGTGGATGGGACAAGAACATCTTCGATTGGGATCTCAACACGGGTCAAACGATCAGAAGCTTCGATGGCAACGCAGGACAAATCTCAGCTCTCGAACTCCGTCCCGCAAGCGGTGCTCCCATCCCAGAAGACGACGATGAGCCACCGCCTCCTACAACAATAACGACAAATAACGCAGCCCCTATAGCGAATGGGAACTTTACAGACCCGCTCACCAACGATGGAGTCGACGACATGTCCGCCGAGTTCAACGCCAATCCCAGTAACGGCGATGGTGACGGTGGAGCTTCACCCGCACACGACAGTCTCTTTGGAGGGAGTGACGCGGGGAGTTTATTCGGTGAGACAAAGGAAGATCAACCATTTGGCAACGACGACGATGAATTCACTGCCGTGATGCCCGGCCATGGTCATGATAGCGCTATGGACCATTCAGCAGACATGGCCGCTCTCGACGCAGGAAAAGATCCAGAACCAGAGCCTGAACCCGTTCCGGAACCCGAACCGGTCGTTGAACCGCCCCCGCCTGAGCCATCGCAGGATACAAGCGACGCTATGGACGTCGATCTCGTGCCTGCTCCAACGCAAGCCACGGACCCATCTCAAGACGCACTTCCCAAGTCTGAGCCAACATCACCTTCGCTACTCCTCACAACACATACTCCCACGAATCATGACCCAACACAAACCTCCAATACAACGTTCCTCTCCGCTGCGATGGACGGAACATTAAGGATCTGGGATAGACGCCAACAAGATCCCGTAGCGCGCATAGGCACAAGGAATGGTGTCCCCCCGTGGTGCATGGGCGCCTGCTGGAGCCCCTCCGGCAACAACATCTACGCGGGCCGTCGAAACGGGACGGTGGAGGAGTATAATATCCACAAGGCAAAGAGGAACTGGGAACCTCATAGGACGCTCAAGTTCCCCGGGGGCAGCGGAGCAGTCAGTGCCGTGAGACCCATGATAAACGGCCGCCATCTCGTCTGGTAGAGTCCCCTCCCATCCCCTCTTATCAGCCTGTCCATACTAACAGTGTCCAGTGCCTCCCACGATATCATGCGTCTCTACGATCTTCGTGAATCGCCCATGAAGCATTCTAGTGTTCCCTTCCTCATCATCCCCGGCCCCCCCCGTGCTGGTGTCATCTCCAGTCTCTACATAGACCCAACAAGTCGTTACATGCTGAGCGCTGCAGGCACAAGAGGCTGGGAGGGTACGAGCACTGAAGTCCTCATCGGTTATGAGATTAATGCTACCAATGGATAGTTCGGGTCCGTCTCAACTCGGACTGACTCTCCAACTTTGGGACTTCGTCGTCGTGCTTTATATATGCTGGAGTTGGTCATGGCGAGCTCAATTTATAGTCAGATTTTCCTGCCTCTATAGCATTTAGACAAAATTCCATTCTTATTCCTCAAATTCTTCGACATGGGTCACTCAGCAGCAGTCAGGGTTTGATACAATACTCGTACAATTTCTACACCAGTGACTACATAATCTACAATTCCTGTCGTCAAAAAGACTTAGGACCTTCTCCTTAGTGACAAAAAGACTAAGGTAAGTTCGTTTCCGCACACATATCATCAGTCATGAACCCGAGGAACTGACACCAGACATACCATGAAGATGTGCTTCAACCATGATATGAGTACGACCTGGCGTGTAGAGCATGCTGATAGCTTAATCGAAGCTAATCAAGTCATCGCCATCGTCCTCATCCTCGTCATCGTCATCGTCCTCGCCATCTTCGGCAGGCTTCTTCAGGCTGGGTTCAACTTCTTTGCCAGTTGAGACCTTCATTGACCAATGTTTTTCCACTTTCTCTTCACGTCGTCGCTGAAGGTTGTCCGATGTTGTCGTTCGAAGCCAGGTCTCACTGATTTGTATCAGCTCTGGGCTCTTCTTACCCCTCTTAGCCTTGGCGTCCTCTGCCAGCAGTTTGTCATTCTTGGCCAGTTTCTGGGGGCTCCATTTGTCGGGGGGAGAACCTTCCTTTGAGGCGTCTGCGCCCTGGTGGACCTGCTGCATGGTTTCAGCGTAGTATCCCACCTCCATGATCTGTTCGCTGGTTGGCTCTAAACAATGTTTTCGAGTTTGTGCCATAGGAGGCGAAGTTGGTACCGGGGGACTTGGAGCTTTGAAGGGATCAGACCGGCGAGCTGGGGACGTTTGATGACTGGACCCCCCCGAAAGTGTTCTGTCGCTTCGTGACTGAGGGCGACGGTTAGACCTTTTGGAAGCTCGAGCAGGCAATGGAGAAGTTCTCAGGGGCAAGGTCATCTTTGGAGGCTCATCGCATCGTGAGGGGCATTTGCAAGGTTGCCAACAAAGGGATTCGCAACTGTGGCCACACTTCAGGATTTCTTCGCACTTCTCCAAGCATTTGACCTCGCTGTGGTCGAACTTGTGGCAAGTGAGCTTGCATGGGTGTCCCTTTGAACATGTGGACTCGCAACCTTTGTCGCAGCCGCCTCCAGGGATGTACTTCCATCCACTGGCATTCTTGATGTTTGTTCGCGTTCCGTGGTTACGGCAAGTGACTGGAAGGTAATCGTCGATACACTGGCGTCGTTCAAACACATCGATGACCTTTCTCCATGTGCTGTACGCCTCTGAATTCTCATCCCGCACAAGTGTTTGGGAGTTGCCAAAGACATACATTCCGCATCTCGCTCGGCTGGTACCCACGTTTGCCCGATTCGAATTCCCAATGAAGCCCGGGCCAAGAGTTCGAACTAGAGACAGCAGAATGACATCGTTCTCCTCGCCCTGGAAACCGTCGACGGTCCTTACGGACCACTTCTTCAACGGATTCTTGAGTTCGAGATACGGGTCGCGACGAAGCTTCTCCGTGATGAGAGCAACCTGCCCCTTGTAGAACGTCAAAATAGTGATACGTTCTGGGTCAACGCCGTTCTGAACGAGATATCGCACGAAGCCCACTATCATGTCGGCTTCATCTGGGTTCGAAAATGAAAAGTCGTTGGCATTCTGTCTCTCTTGTCCCTCGTGATCAAACCACCAAAGGCTCTTTCCGCCCATGCCCGGTACAGGAGGTCGGTTGTCTGGGTCGTAGACGGAGCAATGATCGGTGAGCTTGGGGTAGAACGCGTTGACCACTTCGCGAATTGCAGGGACCATACGACGCTGGACTCGGAGCATACTGTATGGCAACTTGAGCTTGACCAGACGCTCAAACATAGACACATGCATATTGTAGGGCTCGCGGCCGAGTTCTCGCACATCTACAGATGGGACAAGTTGCTGGTGATCGCCGACAAGTACGACTTGGTCCAAACTGGGATAGAGAGCGGAACTAATGTTGGCTTCTCGAGTTTCGGCCGCTTCCTCGATCATCAATATGCGGGGCTTCAATGCTGCGATCATACCACGATACTTGGATAGTCCGGTGGTTGTACAACCCACGATCTCAATGCGTTCATTTGTGATGAGCTTGACGTCGTTCTCCCATCGCTGGACTTTGATATCATCACAGGCTTCCTGGTACTCTTTAAGAAGTTGAGGGAACTTTTGAGCTCGTGCGCGGATAAGTTCTTCTCGTAGGAGGCGATAGACCATGCCGCGATCACCTGGCTTGATCTCATATAAATCTTGATGCATTTTCAATAGCCTACGGGCTCGGTGGACCCATGCGGCATGTTTGGAGAGTGCTCTCGGAAGGGCACCGGTGACATTGAACTTCATGGGAAAGAAAGCACCCTTGAGTCTCTCTTTCTGATTTTCCTGCTGGGTTTCTTCAACAGCGTCATCCTTTGCAGGATTCTCAGCCTGGTTCTGAGGAGGGCGTATGTCAACAGTGTGGTCGTCCTCGATGACCTGGAGCCAGTGCGCGATGCGACACTCGATCTCAATTCCGTCATCACGATTGACCAGAGTAGCAGATTCCCACTCGTCATCATCCAAAGACTTGTACTGAGCATCCGAGAGGAGTCCTTCTCGAAGAAACTCTTCAGCTGGGATCAGAAATGCAGGGAAGCATTCCGACAACAACGTCTCAATTGTGCCGAGAACCTTTCTTCGAGCTTGCTCACCCGCAATACTACCAAATTTATTATTTAACTTGGCTTTGAGATTGAACAGAGTACGCTCTTCTATCGCCTCGTCTTCTGTCCGGCCACCGAGACGCACAATGACGGCTTCAAAAACCGAGAGTCGGTCGAGAAGCTGATCGAGAGCGTGGTTGGTTTGAGCAGCAACTATGACAGGTGGGGCTTCTTTTCCAGACTTGAGAGTCTGGACATAGCTTTCAATGGCTACAACTGATGTGAATGTCTTGCCAGTGCCAGGAGGACCTTGGATGACAGCCAGTTCTTTGTGGGTCATGCGTTCCAAAGCTTCCTTTTGAGAATGGTCGAGGTGATCAGCTCTTTCAGGAATACGAGGAGTCTGTCCTGGAATGTCTGCAAGATAGGCGGTCGTGTGTTCGGTGTTGGACTCGTGAATGATGTATTTGTCAAACTTGGAACTGAGGAATGTTAGCTTGAGAATTGAGTATACAATAGGAAAGACTTACTCAAACATTGCGGCATGTTGCAGCCCAACCATGGCGTGGCGAACAGTCTCAAAATAACCTCCTTTGGCTTCAAGCATCACCATCTCAACGGAAGGATCGAAGACGGCATTGTTGCAGTCGGACCAAAAGATCTCGATGCGGGGCGGAGTGTCCTTGTCTTCGCCATTAGCAAGATCAGGTTCTAGGCCACCCACTATGTATCGTGCGGCAACAACTGCAACGTAGCATTCGGTGTTGAAGTTGTCATCTTTGGGAGACAGTGCAATAAGGGTACCAGCAGTAAGCCGGGTTGTCTGCTTCCACTCAACTTTGGTGGGCGAGCGCTCTGTTGAGAAGGCAATGCGGCAAGCTGCCCCAGATCTAGCAAACAAGTAGCCTTGAACGTGTACCTTGTAGTTGTTGTTAGAATATTTAAGGAAGGAGAAAATGGGACTAACCTGGGTATAGATGTAGAAGGTGTCTCTGTCGCCCTCCATCATTCTAGGCTTGTTTCTGAAGCAGTTGATAGCTTGCCGAAGAAGTTCAGTACCCTCAAAACGATTCGTGATATACTGGAACTCAAGGTAGGCATTCTTGGCATCACGTTCAGATAGTTCCTTGATAACTGGTGGAGGAGGCAATGGAGCAGGATCTATGGACATGAGCTCACTCGAGTGCGGGAACTCTGGAGCCAAGTGCCAAGGGACGCTGCCAGTCTTCGGCAGATTGTTCTTGTGCTTGACATGCTGAGTAATGATTTCCGTGGTAGTCTGATCTCTCGGGGTCTTGGAAACATTAGTATGCGAGGGGAAGAGATAGCATTGGTGCACTTACCTGTTGGTATTGGTCCCCCATCTTGCAAGATGAAGGTGATCTTGATGAACTCGATGGAAGAAGCACCCACAACTGGCGTTGGCGGGGAGCAGTGGTACAGTATCCAGGAGATGAGAAATGAGATATGGGTAAAAGGGTTTGGATGTGAGCAAGAAGCTCTGAGGGCTTGGTGGTAGAAGAGATGTGTGTGTTTTGACCAGGGTGGTTGAGGACGGAAAGGATCAGTACAGTTGAAGAAAAGAAGAGAAAAAATGGCGAGAAAGTCTCCGAGAAGAAGCAGGAATCGTTTCCTGAACTTCTTGTTGCCCAGCAACTCTGAAGAACGATGAGGAGAAGAGAGAAGGAAGAAGTACGAGAAGAGAAGGAAGGTGGCAGGGTGGGTAGCGTGCGCAAGCTGCAGGTATGACTGAGGATTCAACTCAAGTTTTGAGTCCAATAAAAAGTTGAGGAAGAAATGTTGATGCCAGCTGCCCGCCAGGTGCCACTTGCAGATGTTGGATATTCCTCTTAGCGGGAGGTCGTTGCACGTCCCCTTGCTCCAGGTGCTTTAGGGGCTCCAGTACAGTAGCGAGTAAAAGGACCTCAGGGCATCCAATCAGAAATTATAAACTGGCTCGGAGGATGTATTTGATGCTGCGATGAAGCTGGTGTGGATTTTGTACTGCTTGTTCGAGTAGTTGGAGTATAGGTGATGAGTGTCCAGAGTGTTGTGCTGGGCTTGACGAGGGTGTTCGGGCACGAGGTTTCCCTTTTGACGGATTGGGCACAGTTTCTACCTTTAAAATATGATTCTGAAGTTTGAGAGAGATTTCTATTGTTGAACCGCGTTGTATTGTTTCAATTCGGTGCTCTGAGAACGTTTATCGTTGCCAGAAGTATGGGATACTCCAGGAGGAGAAGACAGCAGGGCGCACACAATGCCTGAGAACAGCGCAAGGTAAGATTATAATAGATGACAAAAAGACTCAATTGGCAGAACCTCTTCTTCCCAATCGGCAATGGATCGCTAGTTTTCTCGTAGAGTATGAGTGTCCTGCGCCCCAACAGCGTTGTTAGTACGTTGGCGCTCGATCAACAAGTTCCAGGAGTCCACCTTTTTCTTGCTTGCCCAAAGACACAAACGGTTCAAGTTCGAGGATTAGAAGCAAGTCTCGAAACTTCAATTGAAAGCTCTGTCTTGTCGCTGTCGTTCGTAGGCAACGCCTCGTCTCGTCTCGTCGCAGAAAAGGGGTAATTCGTCGCTCGTCATAGATCAGATATCGTCTCTCAAAACCAGCTTTAACAATCTCAAAACAAGAGTCGTATCTATTTAGAGAAACAAAAAGAAAGAAATGGAAGAGGAGAATGGCGAAACTTTTGTAAAATGAAGAGTACACCCCAGGTGCTTGATCTCGGGAGCCTGCATATGGCTACACTCAGCAGCCCTCATGTGCCCTGCGCGTTTCCCCTCAGTACGCCAACAGAAAATGACAGAATGAGCGTTTTGCATCGGAATCGTGGCAATTTGCATGTTTGAATCATGGGCCTGGCGTGTCTTTAGGGGGGTATGTGGGATCTTGCATCACGGTCAGGGCCGTGCCTAATCAAGGCAATGAGGGACGGAGCAAGGTGACACACGCGTGTCGTTGTACTTGGGATGGACAAGATTTGACCACAGTTAATCAGAGTTCAAGGGTCGATGTGTCATGAGGGAGCGACTTGGGTTGTGACTTGTCGTGTATCTCGTTGTCGCCGCATCATTTGTGAAGGGCTTGCAAAGAAACGCATGCTGCAACGAGTGTTTGCGGAAGTGCAAGCATGTATGGGCCAACGATATGCCACAATTGCTGTTTGGACATTAGACTACATGCAGCAAACACTGGCCCTTTTGACCTCCATGTCAAACAACACATGCAGGCCTCATCATCAATCACAACCCTCAGAGAACAAACGTATGCATGGACAGAGTTGGTGATTTTATTTCTCTCCAGGGTATTCCGCGTACTTATCTAACCCTCCCACCAAAAGCAACAACCCGACCAAGACCCTTGATATTTTGCAATCACTCTTTTCTCTTACACAAGTGTTGGTACACCCCATGACAAATCGCTTTTGGAACCCGCGATAATGACTCTACAGACCAAAGCCCCCTTTCGCCGGAAAATGCCCGCCGCATTTCTTTGCCTTTGACCCCATTTCGCCTGGTAAGAACACCGACCAACACCCGGGATATCTGTCGTCCTGTACGGACTCAATCTATATAAGCAGGATCACAACTGAAAACCGACCAAAACGTTCTTCTATATGATCGCAAAACCTGCATGTTCCAACTCGACGCCATCGGGAAGAATCGGCCGTCCTTGCATCGGGAAAGGCCAGAAGAGGGGGTTTTCCATATTGTCTCCTGTCTTCTGCACAGAAGGTGATTGCTCTCCCAGGAATGGTCCCGCACCCCATTGGCACGTAATGTCTCCCTCTCTAAGGTTGGGCGAGAAGAAGTTGAGACTCCCCGTATGCGGCAACACCAAACGGTCGTACTCTTCCGCTGTGAGCTTATCAACCTTGTTCTCGACATCAATGTCCCACTTTGCGGCCAAATAGCGTAGTATGTTGAGAGCCTGCTCAGCGAATTGGTGGCAAGGAGCCATCTCAGTGAGGTCTGAAATGCCTTGAGTGATGGATTCGGCCACACGAGGATCCACCTTGACCGCTTTCTCCATGTCCGCCTCGGTCGCACCCGAGCCGCCGACAGTTGTTGCACCAATCGCTAGGTGCATGATGGCGGATGTGAGAACAAAATATGGTACGAACGAGGGCGTTCGCCGCAAAGTGTAGAGTGAAGAGTAAGATCTTAGAAGGCCTTGAATGGCGTCGGCCGCTTGTGAGCACACATCGCGAGGCGAAACCTTGGATCCAATGATCCGTAGCTTGATTAGAGGCCGGAACAAGAGTAGGATCGCAAAATGATAGTACATGCTGCTCAAGTTAGCGACGGTGATGAAAGAAACGTGTTAGGCTTAAGACTTACTGAGCGAACAGCACAGCTGGGGTGAAATTGTGCCCCAGTCGAAGGACCTCAGGTATACGATCATACCAATTGAGGTACTGTGTGTACATGTTCAAAAGTTCTCTCGCTGTAAGGGGTTTTCCAGGGGAGTGGAGAATGTACAGAGACTGGTGTACGAGCTCGCTGAGTTCGCAGAAACATTTATATACGGAACGCACGTTAGACGGTTGTTGGCATGAGCGTTGCAAGGGAGCGCCTGTCACAGTCAGCGAAACTCATGGAATAACACAAAGGAAACTCACCGTCGTCCGTATAGGGCACCCAAAGAGACGCTTCGATGTCTCCTATTATCGCAGGCTTTGGTGGCAGGTGAGGAAAGCATGAGCATTGCGGTAATGAGCCTGTGGCGAGGGACCATGCACTGTAGTATCTGTTAGAGGGAAATCTCACGATAAGAGGGGGGACTCACTGGTCAAGCGCAAAAGCACCCCAAAAGGTTGCTGACTGCACAGCGAGTTCATCTTCATCTCCTTCGTCCATTATCCGGTGAAGCCCCATCTCAATGGCGAGTCGAATACTCTGCCCGGCGTAATACCAGCTCTCCGAATCTCGCCCGCAACTAGCCTCTCGGATCGACATTATCCCCAAAGCTTGGATAGTTGTAAGGGAATGGTGATCCGTTTCCTGGGCAAAGAGCCTCAGTGACTCCTTGAAGAAGTGGTCGCCAGACGTATAAGGGTCGTTGGGGTTGGCTCGAGACATGGGCTGCGTCGAAAAGCGGCACCCCAGTGCAAGAAGGGCATTCACCAGTATCGGTGAGCAATATCGATTCCGTCCCTCTTGGAAATCCTGTAGAAAGTGTTCTTTACTCAGAGAAGCAAATGTTGGATACTCCCAGCAGAAATACAATGCCAGAAGATGTTGAACAAGAACGCTATCGCCGGTGATCACGGTCCAAGTTGAAGACAGTGTTTGCAGCTCCGGTTCATTCAACGGTGACAGGATCTGTTCAACTCCACGATATCGTGGAAGACCGTCCGATATTTGATCAGGGTTCATCCCCTCGGCCCAAGACCCAACTCGATTTTGTGGCGGCCCTCGCATATCTGTCTGCCAGTTCATGACATCGGGATGTGAGTTGCTCCTCGTTGATCCGGTTTGGCTGAAGGAAGATTGCCAGGGACTATGCTGACCCATCTCGGGCCTCATGGAAGACTGCTGCGATGGTTGATGGTTCGCACCCAGGCTCATGGCTGCCAATGTACCCAGCGAACCTCCCGGGAACCCCGGGTTAGGTCCCATGGTAGGTCCCTCAGAACGGGAAGGAAACGAAGGTATTGAACGCTCCGGTGCGCTTGCGAGCCATTCTGAAATGGTTTCGATGGGTTGGCCGCCCCGAAGGCGGGTCAAGACCTCTTCCCATAGTTCTGGTCGGACAAGAGCAGCAAAGACTTGGTCACTTGAACGTTGCTTCTGTCGAAGAGTCTCGATTTCGTTTCGGAGGTTCTCCTTCGACTGGCGCACGGGAATCTCGTACACACATTCGGTATCTTTCTGTGCTCTACATCGTCCGCACGGTTTTTTGCCATCGCACTATAACATTAATTGTTAGCAAGGATGAGTTTAGGAGATAATCGATACGGGACGAGGCGAGCACTGCAGCCAATTGTGGAAGTCCATCACAAGCTAAATAAATTGCTGTGGTGGGACATGCTATGACGTACAAGGAAAGTGAAGAACAAGAGTCGGCTACGCAACCAGGGACTCCGGGAAAGTAAGCTGATCTGCTACATACCTTTGCGCGCTTCTTGCGGCATTCCGTGCAGGCATTAGGCGTCACAACACCCAGCCCTCGGCGACGTTTCGAGTTTTGTGTATGGGTGACGTTGGCTGTTGCAGGACCTGATGCAGTCGAGGGCGTATTGGAGGACTGAGCTGAGGTTGGGGTAGGATTCCCTTGTGAGGAAGCTCCTCCAACCTGCGCAGAAGCTCCTTGCGGCGTGTGTTCAGCACTGGGTTGCCGTTGACTACCAGCGTCCGAATGTTCGTTGTCGACATCCATCACTCGAAAAACGAGCCTGACCGCAGGCTATCGCAAAGTACAAAGTTTGTGGGGACGGAGGAGAGGTCCGCTGTTTCGTTATTGTCGTGCGTATGGAACCAGGCGTCCGTCGTGAAGCTTTGTGAGCTCCAACCTTCAGCTCGAAGAGCTTCGGGTGGGATGAGGTCTTGGAGGGGCGACGGCGGACGGCACGGCGCAGTCTGACATGCTGCGAAGGGATTCGCGATGGTGTCGTCAAAGTTACAACCTGAGTCTTGAAGCTTGAACTCTCTCGCCTTGTTCTACTCTGGTCACCTCAAAAATTCAGATTTGATTTTTGGCGCCAGAAGCGAAAATGACTTTGGGCTGTTGGTACCTGAATGACTTCTGCTTTCTCAGTCGCGTCACGGAGGCTTTGTAGCGGGGAGAATGCGATGCGGAGACAAGACGGTTGAAGATGGCCCACCTAAGCTCTCACAATTGCATCAAGGCCAGTCACAACGAGTCGTAGGTCGAATTTGGGTAAAAAGCCCGGGGAATGCGCATTCGTCGACTAGCTAGTAGAGTGCTAGGCTCTAGCACAACGTAACCGAACTAGAGGTGAGCTTTGGAAGCTCACGAACTCGAGGATGCGCGACCGGGGGTTTCAAGGAGCTCGAGGCCGACTCCGCGAGTCAATGGAGAGAGAATGAGGGCTTGCAGGAGTCGCAGATCAATGGCGCTTTGAAGCGCGCAACGTTGTTTCTCTTTTTCTTGTCGCAATTTGCGTCCTCAGGAGGGATTAACGAGGTTGCTCAGAAGTATTGGTATACTTGGTGTCCACTCGATCGTCGATTGCGCCGGCAATAGAGAACAAAAGTTGGGCGCTGTGGTCCATGCACAACACGGATTGGCAACTATTTGAGTTGAACAATTGAAGATTTTGAAGTCAAATTGAGACCGAATGCGGAAATTCTGTGCATGTAACGGAAGTTGGACAGATTGGGAATAAAATGAGAACTGATTAATTGTAGGGATGTGTGAGAAATGGGACGATGAAGATTGGCTATGTCCAGTATGGGAATCTCTTGCGATTGCGATCACGATTATCGTCGCGCTCGATTACCAGGTTCGGGCCGGTTCAAATAGAGGCATAGAACCACGGCGAAGCTTGTTGACTTGAGCTTTAATTTTCTTGATGTCCTGTTACCTTGCTGAATGAATTCTGCGTTTCCTCGGCGAACTCTGTTGCAGATGGTATATCTTGCAGCTATGTAGTCGATCACAGTAGCTGGGGTCCTGGCTCTGTCTCACGCTTCATGTCGTGAAACAGACGATGATCGAACCTCGGATATGGAAGCTCTATAGGGAAATATAAAGAGTGTTGATGGGAGATGGAGATCAAAGTTGAGAAAAAGATTAGGTGGCCAAATGAAAGCTTTTTCTGGTTCTGCCTGAGGTAGAACTTGGAAGGTACGCTCAACCTCCTCAGGTAACCAAACCAATGTTATCAGAGGGTTATTCCGCTTTTGACTGCTGAAGAAAGGAACGAACTCTATTTTTTGAACCGGCGTAAACGTTCTTGTCTTTGTAATCCAGTCTCGACCGCTCAAGCTAGGATTCTTCTGTCCAAAGTTCTCTGATAACCATGAGAATAAGTGCCATAGCCAGATCGACCAAGCCATAGACTACCAAGCCTAAAATTTAGTTAGGGCCGTGGTCTGAGTGGACAATGTGCTCAACGACTCGTCATTCTGCAGTTGTAGACTGCCGATGAGCCTTTCTTATGGCTCGCCCTCTCATCGTCGTTACTCAGCTGCAAATCATGTCTCTATTCAACGTTGAGATGTCTGAGACACAGCTGTTTTTGTACGCACCGCAATTCCCCTCAGTTTCTTAGCAAGTAAAACTGCAAAGTTATACGCCATCAAACTTATCTCCAAGCCTGCTTCAAGGTCGCATCCACCACAAGCACGTCCATCGTCCAATTGGAATGTTACGGAGTCTGCCAGATTGTGCATGCTTCCTTGCATTTGGCGCATCCTTTGAGCCCTCCATCTCATCACCGTAACTTCGCATCGGAGAAAGCCAACCGGATATAAAACGGACGGTCATCACCAAGCCCTATGTTTCACTCAACGGGATCTCTCAAGGAGAGAATAGGCCCAGAGCCCTTGTGGATATGATGTCAGAGATGATAGGCTTGCGGCGATCAGAACATCATGGTTGATCATAGGCTGGGGTAAGTTATATCTTGGCAACATATGATTGACATTGCTGCATTGAAGCACTTCTGATGATACTCGAGCAAACGCCAAGAAAAATGCCACACAATACTGGGCGGCCCTGATGGATGGTGTTCCAAAAGTTAAAAAGGAGCTATTTCTCGGAATATTGGGTGTTCATTCCAATTGTCTTCCATCTTCACCTGAGAATTAACTTTCATGCCAGGGCCATCGGTCGAAGTGCCCCTCTCAAACCTTACCCCACAGTACGTCATTAGCCTTTGGCAGCCTCAACGTTCAATCAGTTCAGCTGGATTATGACCTTGAGCTGAGCTGCACTGTAACATGGCCTACAATCGTGGCCTCTGTGGCCGATAGTGCCCTTCAAACAACGAGGAGAGCGACTGAGAGATCTCTTTAACAACAAAAGATGCAGAGTTCACTGCCGTATATAGCGATTGACAATATTACCCCAATATCCATCCACCCGCCAATTCATGATACCATCGTCCATGCTATGACCTGATTTTCCAAACACCACCGAACCGCGCCCCGTATACATGCGCCCAGTTCCTATGCACCACTATTATACAGCCAGGTTATTCAATGACAAAGGAAATAATATATGCCCAAATCTCCGTCAGAGTCTATGCAAACGGTTCCCGGCGCCCTTTACTTGGACTTCGGTTTTTAACAGGGCTACGGCCCCGATCCGTCTTGCTTGGGCTCCGACGCAGTGAAGGAGTGTATGGAGGCGCAAGAATCGTCTTCATTTTTGGCGGCGGTGTACTGTCCGTATCGGTACCATCGTCGAGCAACATGTGACGCTGCATCCTTGGTGTTTGCACAGGAACCCACATGAACCCGGGACCGTTCTCAGGGGCCATGGACGGATCGTGAGGTGGAGCTGCGGGCTGTGACTGAACAGGAGGTGCTGGCTTGCTGACATATCCACCCAAGAAAAAGTTGTTCGCGAAGGCGCAGAAGATGAGAACAGCGAAGAAGAATCCCTGTGAAGTGGTTAGCTTGGCGATCAGTATTATGCCGCATGAGGTACCCACCCAAGCCTTGAGGTTCATTGCTTCGGAAAACTCGTTGATGATCTCTGCGATTTGCTTCGCAGTCACCTTGACCCTCATGATAGCCTCAGGGTTCTGTGTCATGCATTCAGACCACTCCTCGCATGCCACTCTGAGCGCAGGACGATCGTTCTTAGCGCATCCGTTGATGCTGTACTGAGTTTGGCATTCCGTAATTCGTCCCATTATCTCGATTCGTGCCATCTCGTTTGCATTTTCGATATCCGTCTTCACTGTAGTTACAATAGACCAGCCAATATAGACAAACACTGAGACCAGGAAGAAGTTCACAATCAACTTGACCCATCTGTAAAGATTATCGGGGGCATTAGGGTGTTCGTCCAACATATGCAGCAGAGATCCCAAGAAACCCCTTGGGACTTCCTTTGTTGCCTTCTTCTTGCCACGAGTTCGTCTCGGGGCGATACTATCTTCCGAGTCGGAATCTGACTCTGTCCAGCGGTGTCGGGTTATGCTGCTGACATCTCTGTCGAGGTTATGTCTCTTTCGCTTGCGAATAAATTCTGATACAGAGAGGTCTCGAGTCGCCCGTATTTCGCCTCGACCTGGCGTATGCTTCTTGCTTGAGAAAGGAGTCTTGCTGTAACGAAAGGATTTGTCGATCTTGGAGGGACTCGTCATGCCACTCATATTGACGTCGCTCATACGGTCCGCCTCAGGAGTATCGTTTGGGAAGTCAGAAACTTCTGTCAAGGCAGGACTATCTTCTGCACCTGAAGCTTCAGACAGCGCGACGTCATCAAAGGGTCGTCGGGGCGTTGTAAAGGCAGGGTTACGGAATGCCGGCGCAGTAGTTCTCGAAGATAATTGGGGCGTAAAAGAGGATTTCGGCGGCTTCGTTTTTGAAGGTGTCCCTAGATTTGCGAAAGGATTTGGTCTTGTCGATTTCGAAGGGGAGCCAAAGACTACAAACGGTTAGCAAAGAGCTGCTAGACATCATGGATGATGGGAGCCACAGCTACAACTGTGACGCCGGTAAAGGTAAACTTGCCATTCTGTGAGTTACTTTTTGCTGCATGTGTAAAAGGACTCGTGGGATCAAAAGGGCCACTGTTCTGGTACTCCCAGTCCATGGGACCTTCGTAAGTTCGACGATCCATAATCGATTATAGCTACTGTATAGCTCGAATAATTACGATGTAGGGTTCGCCAGGTGGACAGAATTCGGGGTTGACGTCGGGACAGCTGTAGTGACTGAAAGCTGCTGCCAGATTCAATCCATCAAGTATTCTTCAATTCATCCGTGGCAACCAAAAAGGCCAAAGTAAACAAAGGGTGCGGGCCACCTGCCTGAGGTTTGCAAGGTGGAGCTTGGAGATTATGTCAGCGAGCAGGGGTCGCGCCTCGCACCTGTGGCGGCTCTAGCCATACAAAGAAAGTTGAAGGTTTGCGAATTGTCAATCTTTCCATATTCACAGCATTCGACGATTCTTCACCAACAAATTTTGAAGCACCAAGTCCTCGATGCATCTGAAGCGCTGTGAATAAAAAGTTACAAAAAACGATAAAGAACTCCTAGAGCGATCTCGCACGGTCGACAACGCGACACCATGTCGGAAAGGGATTCCCCAATTGGCGAGCACGCCAATGAGCCTGTCAACGACGGCCAAGAGCAAGAATATGAGGATGCTGTCGCCGCCGCCGACTCTGATCGCGACTCCGATGCGCTGTCCGAGGTCGATGAGGATCAGTTCGAGGACTACGACCCAGAAACAGCGAATATTGAGGACCGACCCGTCGACATTGACGAAGATGTTGCTCGCACATTGAAAGCTACAAAGCGAAAGCGCGCAGATGGAGAGGCCCCAAAGAAGCCACGTGAAGGCCGCCGAGATAAGAAGCGCCGAGATCGAGATGAAGATGTTGATATGGATGATGCAGAGGATGGAGGCAAAAAGTCACGACGTTCCAGACGCGCTGCTGGTGATGGAGAGCGACGTCAGCGTTCTAAGCCTGCTAGCCCAGAGCCTGAGAAGGATGAGAACTTGACACCGGCGGAGCGAAAGCAGCGAGAGCTCGACCGAATGATAGATGCGGCAATCAAGAAGCCAAGCGGTCTCAAGCGAAGGAAGAAGGATGAGATTGTAGGTTTCGAAATGCATATGCTCAAGTTTTTCAACTAACGTCTTTTCAACCAGGATCTTGAGGACGAGATTGATGACCTTCTAGCGGATCTCAAGGTACAGATGGAGCAGGCCTGTCAGGCTGATAACCAGGCTCGCGAGGCCGGCCAACCAGCTCTGCACAAGCTGAAGCTTCTCCCTGAAGTCACCGCTATCCTGAACCGAAATAACGTCCAACACGCCGTTCTGGACCCCGATACGAACTTCTTGCAGCACGTCAAGTTCTTCTTGGAGCCTCTAAACGACGGCTCTCTTCCAGCGTACAACATCCAACGTGACATCTTCAACGCTCTCGCCAAGATGAACATCGAGAAAGAGGCACTCCTCAGCAGCGGTATCGGAAGAGTGGTGGTGTTCTATACTCGTAGCAAGAAGCCCGAACCCAGTATCAAGCGAATCGCTACACGACTCTTGGGAGAATGGAGTCGACCTATCCTGAAACGAACCGACGATTACAAGAAGCGCCAGATCGAGACCCGTGACTACGATTATGAGTATGCACTCCCTCACGGCTTTTCTCTTACACCTGCTAACTTTGATGCCAGATCTGCCAAGATGGCACAACGCCAGAAGACCAGCTCTCAATTCAGTCTTTCCCAGCGTCCTGCCGCCAACGCCAAGGATGCTGAGCGCGAACGTCTACTGGCCCCATCACGAGGCAACAACTCGGCGCGTATGGTCAACTTGCCTTCGAGCTACACTGTTGCTCCCCAGAGCACCTTTATGGGCTCGCAAAACTCGAGCCATCGTCCCCTTGGTGCAGGTGGTATGGAGGCTTTCCGCAAGATGGCTCAGAAGAGCAAGAAGCGTGCCAACTAAGGCCGAAATTCAGGGTTGGATTTTCTTCGGAGCTTCTTGGAACGTACCATATTCGGGCGAGCATGTCGGTTGTAAGCTATTAGTTGAGACAGAAGAGTTGACGCACGCGGGTTCTGGGTTTGGCGTTGTCGGCGTTAACATAATAGGCTATTAAACATAACAAAACTGGAGCCCTCATGACGGGCTAAAGCGAACTATTTTTCCATATCATTTATGATTGTGACTCTGATTCTTGTGATGTGATACGTGGTCGTCCCGTGCTCTTGAGACACCAGATGACATGGACGGTTGGCTCCCACGTGGTTTCGGAATGTTTAGTCTCTGACACATGACAGAAAGATGAATGTCGTTGACATGGAGTGTCATTGACCCTACAATATTTGTGAGAACCTCGGTTTATGCTTGTGAGAGTACTCTTCCGTGACTCTGACATCATTTAGAGAAGCGTTGCTAAAAATGACTTCAACCTTGGAGTTTAGCTCCTGTAAATAAAACACAGGCAGGCGTACCTCTACCATCAACAGCATAACCATGCCTCGAGACTTAGATCCTAATGGCGCTGCGGAGAAACATCACGAATGTTTCATTCAGCGGTCGTCTCCGAAGTAATTGACAATTTATCACAACGCCCTTACTGCTACCAAATTCGTTGCCCAGATTAGAATGCCTTAGACTCCGGCGGCTAAGGGCGGCTGATTGCAGGTGGTTTCCCTTCGGCGCTTAAAGTCCTAAGCTCGGTAGCCGTATGATACTCGAGTTGTGTTGAAGCAGGCCTCAAATACGACCTCGGAAAAGTACGATGCATGTAGGCAAATGAATAGACGCCAAGGCAGGCAACGTGCCTCACTCGAATGCAGGCCCTGGGTTTCTTGAAGTGCGTCTGGGGTCACAAATCAACGCCGCATGAGGTCTATACACTTATATGGTATAGAGGTGAGTCTATCATGGACGCATCCAAAGTGCCTATAAATCGCCATTGACCCTGAGTTCGTTCTTTGTCGGCCAATGGTCAAGATGTTGTATCTCTACAATATGTGAGGGTTTCAGAACTCGTGGAGATAAAATAGACGCTCAAGTATAGAAGAGGAAGCTGGCGGTACCCGATACACTATGCAGAGTACAACTAACTTACACGCTGAGTTGTTCAGGTCGCTTAGATCATTTCCAGTCAACCGCGAGGCTGACAATCTCCTTACCCCCATACATACCGGTTCTTTGAACGGCATCCAACCACGGGAAACAACACAAACTTCAGTTCCTAGTTGTATGAGTCCATTCGCCAAGTGTAAGTCGCTGGGTGATGCGGGTAATATAATTAGATCTGCTGTCGTTTCACTTAGCGCCCTTGGACTCTCCACGGAGGTAGACCAACATGTGCAAATGCTTTGAAGACAAGTATAAAGAGACAGTGTACAACTAGGTATTATCAAGCCTAAGTCATATAATATTTTACAAGAAGCGTATCCAAAAATCGCCGACATGGTTAAGAACAAGCCAAGATTGTATGTTGTCTGCTTCTTTCGCACTCCTCAAGAAGGCGGAAACCCTGATCCTTACCATTGGGGCCTCGCCAGCGGTCCAAAGGATGGTGGAATGGAGGGCATGGTTCTCTACCACGTTCGAAACATCCCAACTTCACAAGGCGTACACTGGCAGTTCGAAGAGCCACCGCGCGATCTCTCAAGCGGTCCCACGCCCGCGATGCTCACATTCACAGCCGTGGCCAAGATCGAAAACTTGCGGCGCCTGGAGGAGGTCGTTAGAGCTGTCCCTATAGAAACGAGTGCAGTCTGGACCGTCTTCAATTGCCAGATGTGGGTTGAGCAAGCCTTAGCTGCTATCGTTGGGGATCAGAGGTGCGTGGGGACGAATGCAATTCCAGCGAACTGGGCCGTACTTCATCAGCAATGCACATCGTTCTCGGAACCGTTCCGGGAAATGCGACGTCAAGGGCAGCTCCTGCCAACTCCAAGACCTATGCAAAATCTTCTACCTTCGTAGAAGTAGCTATCAAAAGCAGTGCTGCGGTTTGTGACGCACTCTGTGCGTTGAAAGCGGCAAGGAGGAGGCGAAAGACCCATCTTACTTCGTACAAATGATCCTGGGGAACGCCTCGCCGAAGATTGTACATCGGATAGTAGAAGATATAAAGCAACTGGCGAGAGCGAAGCGGGTTGGGTAGGCTATAACCATGGTCAAGGATTTCAGGAGCGCAGCGTGCAGAAATATAAGCGTCCAGCGTCTGCCAATGCGCCGTGCTGTTCACTTGGCACGCACTCGTCGACTCCTTGCACAGCGGCGCAACGGTTGGAAATTCTGTACATAACTCAGCCTGTAACGAGTCTTTTCTTGGTGCAAATGTCAGGCACATTGTGCTGGCCCCAGGTACACAGCCCACTCGAAGAACAAATTGTGACGTGGACATATCGAGGTTTTCTTCGCAAGTTCTTGCGAGTTTGAGAAGCAATCAAATTCGCCTTCCACGGCATCGGAAACCTCTGAGAGTTGGTGATATCCAGAGGAGAGGACTCACATAGCCTTGTTCTGAGATGGTCTATCAGCTCCTATACCCAGCCGAAGTTGCTCGGCAGCATCGCCTTTCCCGCAGTCGGCGTTGCCCTAGTTTCCTCGCAGTTGCTTTGTCGGCGTGAGGTCGAATCCATCATCTCCAGGCTGTCTTGAATATCCGTTAGTCTCCCCAGACAAATTGGTTGACATGCACCCTCAAGGCCCATCACAATAATGCTTTCTCCATAAATCGTCCATCTCTTTTTCTTGAGGCCACTCATCAAGAAACTTCCCAATCTCCTCCCTCCACCCTTTGATGTAATGGGTATTAATCGCTGTTGTGTACTCCCAGTACCGCGGATACCAGCCAGACATTTCCCAATCCACGATTCCTACTACTTTTCCCTTCTTGACCAAAATGTTACTCAGACTAACATCTCCATGTGTAAACACGGTCCCCATATCCCCTTGCTCTGATGCTGTATGCATCTCGATCAATTTTTGAATCTCTGCCTGACTCCCTTGGTCTGCGAAGGAGTCAATATTCGAGACTCCGTTTCGAAGGAAAAGGTTGAATGCTGCCTCGTTCGGGAAGGGGCCCAACCCTTTCTCCCCGGCGGCATTCCATATTCGGTGGTCGTGCAACTTGCCTCCATCAGCGGCACACACAGCACCATCTGCAATCCCCTTTCCAGCGGGTTTCTTGAGTGCTCGCAGCTCCTCAAAAATACCCCTAAGCTGTGTCAATAATCTAACCTTCTCATCTTTTGACGCCTCATGCCAACTATCACTCAAGGGTCGCCCATCAATCCTTTCCATTACGATATAAGTCACTCCTTTCTTATCATCTCGAAACGCGCAGTGCAATCTCGGAACAGGGACGTTAGGCGCAAAGCAAGCTAGAAAGAGTAGGGCTGAGGCTTCAGAGAGGTGAACGGTGCGTCCATATTTGACAAGTTTAGTCGAAGAAAGATACAAAATTGAGGAGTTTGAGTGTCGCCGGGAAGGCATATGTCTAGACACAGCGATTTGAAAGAGGGTTTTCCAGCGGTTGAAGAGATGATTCTTGTAACCGTTGGCCCAAGCTTCATACGGCGTTGAAGAGGTAGAAGTTGATAAGACCGGTTTACACATGGTGGTCGTCTATTGAGAAATGAGATCTGGGTGATCTACAGCTTAAGGATATCTGATTAAAGGTCTGGCCCGTTGGTGTGCTACCTATCACCGTCTCATAGGATATACATTATGGGCCTCAGGCCACTAAAGGTCACCATTTCCATTGGCCAGTAATAAGTGGACCTTAATGCCGTTCAACATCAACAAGGAGCTGTAATCCGTAATAATTGGTGATTTGCTCGTTCCTTCTAAGGGATTAAAATGATGATTGGCTCAGCTCCTTGAATCTTGCAACATTCATGGTAACCTCGGTTTATGCTTATAAGTGCGTCTCTTCTGACTTAGAGAAGCATTGCCTAATATGAGTTTAACCTTTGGGGTTTGGTAACTTCTGAACATTAAACACAAGGAGGCCCGACTTCAAGTATCACATCCTAGGTCCCTGTGCAACGGAGCATGGTCCCAAAGCGTTCAAGTTGAACAAGTCTATTTTCTCTGTGGGCGTTGTTGAAATATGGGGTTTCACGACTGGGCTTTCGGGAAGTCTTCCTTGGTAAGTCCCTGGCGTGGTGACGTCAGAGTCGGGTATTGAAGCCCAAAGAGTTTGGTGGTTGGAGAGGCTGGAGCTGAAATTCAATGCCTTATGAATGCGAATACGATTTGGGGTAGGCATAGTTAAGAAGTCGGTAACATCGGTAACACAGGCGACATTGTAGCGGTAATAGAGTCATATCAGCATGAAGCTGAACTGAGTATTGATATCTTCTCAATTAATAGTAGACTCGCCGCATCCTTGCAGTAGAACAACAGGAGCAGGGCTCTCCAGGTTGTTCAAGTACCTCACGGACGTGGGGTGCCTTGGAGGAATGGCGTCAGACCCTCGAAATCTGCGTGTGAGAGTGTCGATTTAGCGCGTATCTTTTTGATAACCGATACCTTACCTTCTCCAAATGCCACTAGCTGTGTGTCTCAACCAAAAGCTTTCGATTTCAGGCACAGGGGTTACAAGACTAAGGTAGAGATCAAGTTTCTCTTGTGGGATCCAATGCTAACGGGAAGCTGCCTCTCGTGCGTCGTCATAATGCTGTCTGTGAGACGTTAGGCTGCTTCAGGGTCGTGGTGAACGATATTCACATGTATAGATGCATCTCGTAAAGTGTCCGCTTTTGAGTATCATTGTGGTTCAGATTTCAGTCATGTCTTGTCTTTTGTTCATCTGAATCTGGTGTTTTCAGATGAAACTCCAACCCGAATTGACATTAACTTATCTCTTTATGCGTTTATCGACGCAAAAGTACGCGCTTTCGGTATATTATCTTTATGCTGGAAATTAGATCGCAAAATTTGAGGCTACCAAGATGGCATGCACTTGCACTTGTAGATACCTGACCGGTCCTCCCTGGCCTTACAAATAAACGATTGCAGAATCTGTTGGCTGCAAGAACCTCACCAACCTTCCTCACCAACCCGGACCCTGGGCTGGCTGGCTTCTTCTAGCTGCCCCTCCTCGCCTCTGACCGATAATATTCTTCTTCCTCCTTCTTCTCCGTTTCTTGTCCAAGCAAGTTTGGATCCATCAAAGCATCAACACAAGACGTCGCAAAAGTCATTACTCGGACAACCAAATTACATTCAAGTATCCATATTACAGCGTATTAGCTTTACAGTAGCTTACACTGGGACCAATACACCAAGCACAATCACTCACTGTGCTCGATTGATCCTGGTCACTTCAGATTGCGCCGCCACTAGGTTATTACTGCGCAACATCTTTTGGTTCGACTTGCAAAGATCTACCTTGGCGCCACTGCCGCACCACAACCGCAGTTATCTTACCGTGCTCATCTCCGATTTATTCTTCTCCTGACTTTGTCCGACACCTTCAACTGTCTGAGCGATTTTGGTATCTCTTGAGAAAGCATCTCTACGAAAGAAAACGAACAGAAAATAACCCCACGTCCGTCGAGCGAGCACTTACAAGCGCCCCTCTTCCCCCACTTCATCTCGACATCATTTCTTACCGACACCTAAAAGAACCCAGAAGCTGTCGCATACGACATTACGATAAACCCATTGACGATTTCACGACTCTGTTCATTGACGGCCTGGCGACACAGACGCCAGATACATCGCGACTTGTCCCTAGAATACAGATCCTGCACTGTTGCGCACAGGCAGATTTTGACGAATACACCACAATGAACGGCACACAATCCCCCGACGCCCAAAAGGCAACAAATGCCAACACCAACGGTAGCAACAGCAACAATAGCAGTCTTGCAGCTAAGAAGCGCAAGAAGGACTTGAAGCCGATAATTACTATGGAGGGTACAAACCAGCCAGCTGGGTATGTATAAAACTGTTTCCTTTTTGGTCTTTGAGCTCTGGTCGCATTTTGTTTTGGTTATCTATACATACACCTTGTTCGCATTCTTCCTGCTTTTTGTTTTGTTGCAACTGCATCGCCCTACACAACCTTGATTTTGGGGAACTTCTCGGTCGCACATTGCTTTGACATTCCCCTCGAGACTGCTGGTCTTACGGATCGCATGGCACGATCCCAGAATTCCCAAGGCGCCGCTGGTCCGATGTCGCCAACGACCCTGATACAACCCAACTGCTCTAGCTACATCTCAGATCAGCTGTTGCTGCGGTTATGAGACCAGATCCACAACTTCCATGTGACTGTTTATGAAGGAAACAGTTACTGGTTTCAGGGAAGATCAAGCATCATTCCATCCATATCGCCAAAATGGACACTCAACAAATATGGCGCGGCATTGCATCACCCTACAGAAGCAGCGAGGGCAGATTGAAACAAGTGTGGACACTGCTCGCAGTGGCTGTTCTGGAGCTTGGGGGCCCGTGTGCTTTGGCCTTGATAGGACGATACGACCCCATAAGCTTTGGGCATTCACCAACCTTGGATCACTCGATCGATCACTGGGTCCTCTGTACCTGATTTTGGTCTGCCCTGGAGGTGGTGCAGTCAGTCACTTGCCCGTGGCACCTCTGATTGTGCCTGAAGCTTCTGTTGGCTGATGCATGTGAAGGAGGATGAGAATGTGATGGTGATGGTTGTGCTCATGCTGTCTGATGCGATACCACCTGACTGAGTTGTCCGGCCCTTTGCCATCACTTTGCATTCTCTATTGTCGCTCCCTCTCTCTGAAGCTCGCTTGGCGAGCTGGATATTCGAGCCTTGAGCTCTCAGAGACCCTTTATTCGCCGGGCGGGACGCTCCGTCTTGCGCCGCGTGCCAGCCATCCCATGGTCTCTAGCAGGGCCCTGGAAACAGAAAGCCAAGCGACTGCAGATCCGCAAAGAACGCTGAGCCCAGAGTCAAGAAAAGCGAAGCAAATCAAAACCAAAGACAAGGAGCACGCCCCCGAGCCCAGTCGACCTATAATCTCCATCAATCTCTCCCTCGACTTGGCCTCGCCTGTTTTTATATTATTTTCTCCTTTTCTCTTGTTTTTGGCTTTCACTCGGGCCTTTACGCGCCCCAGCTTGCAGTCAACTTCAAACGTTACCATCGTGCACCAGACGTCTTTGTCATCTTCGTCATTTTCGCCAGATCCTTGTTCTCTCCATCACCTTTTCTTATCCCCCGCTCATAAACCGCCACGCCGCTCACCGGCTTATCTGTCGCGCTGCTCCTACGATTATCACTATTTTCACTACGTGATTTGACTTTCAGCTGGTGCTCCCGAAGTTGAGGAGCAGAGAAGGACAAGGAAGCAGACTCAACGCCCGACTTATTACCAGCGCAAGCTGCGTCATGTGAAGGCACCATGACCAGCTTTCTCAAATCAAGGTTGCACTCTCCCGTCCCGTTTTATGCTTTGTCGGTAGCGGTTTGGCGCCCAAGCTTAGGCGTGTGTTTCACCGCTGTCGGTCAATTCAGTGCCCGAGTCTTTTTGGTACCGAGATCTTCAACTGGAAGCGCCAGTGAAAGACTTGACTCGTTTCTACGTTATCGTCTGGATGATGTTTTGATGCTTCCCCGCCATTTCACTACACCCAAGCCCAATCCGGCAAAGGTCCCCCACCACGCGCAAGGCCTCAGCTCTTTCGCCGCCGTCGCTCTCCCACCAAATCTTGCGACCGTGGTTGTTTGATCTGATTGCATTGGCTCCGCCTCAATTCTCGTTCATCATCTACACGTCGCCTTATTGCGCTGATTTTTGCCGCATCTCTACATATATTTTAAGCCATCGCTGACCTCTTTTCTCCCCCTTATAGATCCCACCAGCTTTCCGCCATGGCCCACTCCCCCTCTTCCTCGTCCGTCGACGATGCCGCCGAAAATACTGCAGATGAGGAGGATTCTGAAGATTACTGCAAAGGTGGCTACCACCCCGTACAAGTCGGAGAGAAGTTCAAGGATGGAAAATACACCGTGGTTCGCAAGCTAGGATGGGGTCATTTCTCAACCGTCTGGCTGTCCCGCGATAATACCAACGGCAAGCATGTCGCCCTCAAGGTCGTCCGTTCCGCCGCCCACTACACCGAGACCGCCATCGATGAGATCAAGCTTCTCAACAAGATTGTTCAAGCCAAGCCCGATCACCCTGGTCGCAAGCACGTTGTGAGTCTTTTGGACTCGTTCGAGCACAAGGGACCCCACGGCACCCATGTCTGTATGGTTTTCGAGGTGTTGGGAGAGAATTTGCTTGGGCTCATCAAGCGCTGGAATCACCGTGGCATTCCCATGCCTCTCGTCAAACAAATTACAAAGCAAGTTCTACTAGGCCTCGACTACCTCCATCGCGAATGCGGTATCATTCACACCGACCTCAAACCAGAAAATGTCCTTATCGAGATTGGGGATGTTGAACAGATCGTTAAGCGCGTCGTCAAACCTGAATCTGCCGAAAAGGAGAACAACCGCAATGGACGTCGGCGCAGAAGGACTCTCATTACCGGCAGTCAACCATTGCCATCTCCCCTCAATACCAGCTTCAACCAGTCCAACCTATTCCCCTCAACGAACACCCACTCTAGTCTTGCTGGTGTCCTGAATGAAGGTAAGCAAGCCATTGATCATCTCGTATATGGTTCAGCATTGGCTAATGTGATCTTGTCAGCAGGCAAGTCATCAAAGGAGGCATCTCCTAAACCATCTGACGATGCCCAAAAGCAACGAGAAAAGTCTGCGTAAGTTATTCGCCACTCAACGAAGAAATTTTTATCAGGCGCTGACAGCACTCAAGCGATCTTCTCAGTCGGGAAGTGTCAGGTATCTCTCTAGACAAGTCAAACTCTCCCTCTGCTTCAACAGGCGAAAAGCGCAAGGCAGAAGATGCGCACGCTTTCGATGTTATTAGCGTCAAGATTGCAGACCTGGGCAACGCCTGTTGGGTCAATCATCACTTTACCAACGACATCCAGACAAGACAATATAGATCACCTGAGGTTATTTTGGGTTCCAAATGGGGTGCCAGCACTGATGTATGGAGTATGGCAGCCATGGTATGTACAACGGTATTCGTGGTGAAGCTGGCACTGGCTTCTGTAGAGCATTACTGACCGCCCATTAGGTGTTCGAGTTAATCACCGGCGATTACTTGTTTGATCCTCAGTCAGGTACCAAGTATGGTAAGGACGATGATCACATTGCTCAGATCATCGAACTCCTTGGGCCATTCCCTAAATCTCTATGTCTCAGTGGCAAGTGGAGTCAGGAGATATTCAACCGAAAGGGAGAATTGCGAAACATCCACCGACTGCGGCATTGGGCTTTACCGGATGTGCTACGCGAGAAGTATCACTTTAAGGAAGACGAAGCAAAGCGTATTGCAGACTTCCTCACCCCAATGTTGGAGTTAGTACCTGAGAAACGAGCCAATGCTGGCGGAATGGCGGGCCACGTCTGGTTGGAGGATACACCTGGCATGAAGGGGTTGAAGATTGAGGGCCTGGAAGTCGGTGGCCGGGGTGAAGGCATCGACGGCTGGGCGACGGAGGTGAGGAAGAGATAAAGTGATTTATAGACGCTTTCGGGCATGTCGAATACAGAGAAACAAGCGAAACACAAGTCGACAGTCCAAGGCAACCCACATGAAGTGGTGCATGTGGGATTTGACTGGTCTTTTTTTTATTGTTTTTTTGATGATCCACACGAACGGCTTGCGGTGCTACATTACACTTGTACATCTTGACGATCTGGAACAGCGGCATCTTATCAAGCGAGCCGACTATGATGATGAATGTATGTAGGCGAGGGAGGAAGTACATGCAAAGGGGTAAAAGATTTAACGACTGTCCAATGTCTTGAGCGCTCTTTGGTCTAGCCTTAGAGCCAGAACACATCCGACCTTGATATAGATTGTTGAAATAAACTCAGCAAAATGTATCCCAAGTCTATCCTAAGCTTATATTAAGTTACCTAAACTGAGACAAGGTATCCTAAACTTGGAGAAATAATCTCAAAGTTGACGTCTACAGACTTGGCAGCATCTTCGAATTGTTGCGCCACAGTTGGATACCTGACCGATACTCCCTTGCCTGAAATCATTGTTGACGAGGACCATTTACTCGTCTTTGGCCCATGTTACATGAAAGACTTGACGAGACGGATTGAGATGAGCAGGGAACTTTGTTCGTGACGTTTGAAGGGGTAAGGGTCGAAGAGTAGGCCAGGCGCATCGATGCCTTGTTGAGATTGGACAGGAGGTCTTGTAGTCAGAAGGCTGTATAGCGAAGATGATAGGCTTGACCTGCTTTACATCGATGATATGTGATTGTGGTGTGATGATTGTTGAGAAGTGAGACGAGAGCTTGGGTTGGATGGGAGAGGTTACGTTTATGACGTCTGTAGCGAATTTGGTATGCTGTTCGTAGCATGTGATGGCAGTGTAGGTTATGCTTTTTATCGTCTCACGGATCGTGAAGGGCACAGCCTGAGTGATGATGGGGTTTGGATATGATGGAAGATATGGGCAAGGCCACCATAGTACCAGCCCATGACCACCAGCGTTCTCTACAGTTGTTCAATTCTTCAGAGGACTCGCAGTTGATGGCGGCACGGAGCCCCGTATCATTACCAATAATATTCTTTGGGGATGACTCCTCCCAACAACTCCTGTTGAGGAACTCTTGCAGATGACCATTATGCACAATCCGGTCTCCGACCAGTAACGCCCGCAGAGAACAGGAGAGCATATCGGGAAACACTAGAATATCATATGGTTTCCTCAATGAGAAATATATGTAGCAGCCAAAGATTCATGACCCGACGCCCTCCTTGAAAGACCAGTCCAGGGTGATCAAGTTCCAAACTATTTGCATTATTAAACAAACCAAACCCAAACCTCATTCCCGTAATTGTCACCACTATGGTGCTCGTATAGAATTACATAGTAGATACAGATCATTGCTTGTACTTTCTTTAGCGTTTCTTGACGCTCACGGCTGGACCATCATCGTCTTCCTCCTTGGTCCCTAAGAGGAGGGACGAAAACTTAGGACCCCTTATCTTAAGGGATTTAATAAACTCAGTAAAAGGTATCCCAAACCTATCAAAGCTGTTCTAAGCTTATATAAGTTACCTAAGTCTTATGGTCATCTAAATTCAAGGTCCCGAGTTTTTCCCCCCTCCTCTGGGCTCACTCTTATCACTAGCGAAGTCTTCATTAGCGCTCTCGCCATCTGTGGGAGAGTCTTTAGCGGCATCGAGAACCTCGTTCATGATGCGCTTTCCCTCATCGATCTCTCCGTTGGGAGCACCGCAGGACATGCACCTCCACTGTCCGACCTCAGAGAGCGTCTTGGTCCCAGGGGGTGCTTGACCATTGACGAGTCGGCATGATTTGCAGATCAGCACAATGCGATTCTTGGGCGCAGTCTCGTCCTCGCCAAGAAGAACGTCGAAGATACGGTCGTACCAGTGCGATTCAGGGGGTCCTGTCTGGTATGAGGCGTAACCGGTTGGCATCGGAGGAGGCTGAGGAGTCCCGGGGGCGATAGGAGGCGGAGGAGGTTCAGAGAATTCGGCGTTGGGAGCGAATTCAGCACTTGGTTCCATGGGGTTTGGAGCT